TACTTCAGTTTTTTAGATTCCAGGTTGAAAGGAGGTATTTTTCATCGAAGTGACAGTATTTAAATTAATGATCAATACTTTATAGAGAAGTTAGTGTTAGTGTGATTTGTTTTATAAGCCAATTTTTTCAGAAGTTTTTCATCATAGGGTTACAAAGTTAAAACAGCCTTTTATAACTTCTACTGTGTAATTTCTTTATTATGCTCCAGGGTGCTGTATGTTCAACTCTTCCTACTTCCTATCAAATTTGGCAGCACAAGATTTCTACATATCATGTAGTTATCAATGCTTCCATTATTATAGCAGTATATTTTTTCTCTTCTCATTCACCATAGAAAACACTAATATCTGTTGTAAGAGTCCAAAATGCATAATGTTTCTCTATTTGGGACCAAATTTCTGATGGTATCCATGGTGGGAATATTGTTAAACCAATGGGAAATCCTAGTTTACTCCTTTTGCATTCTAGACTAACTTTCTCCCTTTTTCCAAACCTGCTTTCTTTCTATAGTACTCTATTTAAATAAAATTAAAGTAAGTTAAAAAATAAAATTTTATATATCATATTTATTACGTACATGCAACTATTTTGAGCTACAGTCTCCTATTTCTAGGAAAAATTTAAAAAAAAATCTTTTCGTTTTCCTTAGGTGTTCAATGAGGAGTGGACCCATTTGCTACATTTGATCTAATTTTAATACTAACTGTTGCTCCCTTTAGGACTTCAGTAGATTTGTCTCTGGGGAATGTTATAAGTCCTTAAAGGAACATTTAACATAACCATCAGTTAGTTTTAATTACTTCATATACTCAAATGATGATATGTTAGATGCTAGGAAAAATAATTTAAGTACATCTAGTTTCTGCCTTCTGGCCACTTACATATTAAACCATAATAGAATAAGATGGTATTTTTAATTGGTCAGCCATTACAACCAGTCATTACAAGTGTAAAATCTTTCATATAAAACTTTGTAAAAGAAATCAGGCAATTCATTTCCAACCCTTCATTAAATTTTGCCTTATAATACACATTGAAATATGGTCAATGGCCACAAAAAAGGAAATAAAAGAGAAGAATTTTATATATGGTTCTACTCAGAATTCCCAAGGAAAAAATATGATTTTTGCAGTAGATATTTGGCAACTAACAGATAGACTGAAATATTTTCAACTGGCAGAAGCAGTTCTCCAGAATATAAGCAGTGAGAGTGCTCTGTGACTGTGGGCTGTAAGAAGACAATGTCAAGTCCAATGCAAGACAGGCAAAATAAGTGAGGCCAGAACACTCAACAACCACAAAGCTTAGCATGGTTAGTGTGCTATATAACACAAGATCTAGTTCTGCTTTACATTTGTGTTTTCCAGGTAACAATACATGAATTATTATCCCTGACATACCTCTATTCTTGATAGCAGCAAATAACCCTCTTTTAAATACACATTAAAAGCCTGATTTCTTTCTTTAAAATTTTAAGTAATGTATTTCTTCCTCATTTATTTTATTATTATTATTATTATTATTATTATTATTATTATTTGTGTGTGTGTGTGTGTTTGAATGCGTGCTCATCTGCTATTGGGTGTGTGGAGGTCAGTAGTAGATTTCTGTGCTTCTTAGAACACTCACCACCTTATTTTGAGGCAGGATCTCACAGTGAATCTACAGCTTGCTGATTCATATTTACTCGCTGGACACCAAGTACCTAGTATCACCTGCCTCAGCTTTTCCAGGACTGGGGTCAGGCACATGTCACTGTGCCAGTTTTTAGCTTTTATATGGATGTTAGGGACCCAAACTCAGGTCCTCATGTTTGTACAATTACTTACTCATTGAGTCAAATCCTCAACCTCTCAAGCCTGATTTCTTTGGTTGGATTTTCTTACCTAAACTCAGTGATGCATCAGTTATATCTTTTCTTTCATCACAGAAAACAGTAGATTTTATCAATTGCTTCACTCTTGGTAAACTCTTGCCCTACAGTGCTTCTCAACAATTCTTGTTTCTCAACAATTGATTTATGTTATTTTCTTTTGTCATATGTTGGAATTTACAGTTTAATAAATGACAAATATTATTCCAAATAGTACTAGTTTCCATTGCATACATTCATTTAAAATTTTAATTATTATGATGCTGGTATGAATTTTTCAAAGAATCAATTACTACAATTTTCTGTATCTTAAAGATTCACTGATGATATAAGAAACATAATGAGACTGACATTAATTAAAATTTTTTTTATTATCATTATGAATCAATATTTTATCTTTCTGAGACAAGCTCTCTGTGTAGCCACAGCTGGCCTAGAATTCATTATACAGACCATGCTGGTCTTGATCTCATAAGGATCTGCCTGCCTCTGCCTCTGCAGCACTGAGATTAAAGGTGTGAGCCACAAAACCTTGTAAAATCTGTGAAAAGTTATAAATTTGGCTTAAGTTATTCCCAGCTTGCAGAAATTATGTAACCTATAATGAATACAAGAATCTGTTCTCTGTTCATGATCAAAGTTCAAGCACTTTCAGATGTTTTCCCAGGTCGTTTTATAAATAAATGTTGAAATTTGGAGATGATGTTTATGTGGGCTCTATGTCTGCTTGAGTCTGAATCTGCTTCAAGGACAACAGGAGAAATCCTAATGAAACTTATCTAATAAAATGGAAAGCATTTGAAAATTGCAACAGTTTCTGACATCTCTCCATTACGCTTTTCTAATACTCTCTAATTTGTCTTAGTGTATCTTATTGATATCCTCAATGCTTTCAGAAATAAATGCAGTGGATGTACTCCTAATTCAGTGCTTTGTGTTAATTGTTTTCTAGCATTACAGGTGTGTGTGTATGTGTGTGTGTGTTTGCATACGTGCAAGCCAGTGCTCACTAGCACAGAGACTTTCCATTTTCATCTTCTTTTGCCATCTCTTTTGACTTATTTTCTTACACAGTAATTATCAACATGTACTATGCTGTATGTTGCGCTTATTTATGAATTTTTTCTGTCATTTGCATATAGAATGGATTCAGTAATAGAAATAGAACTTTGTGTGTGGTTGTGGTTGAGACAATAAATGAAGACAATTGAGTTTGTTTGGTTGTTGTTCATTTTGACCTTTTCTGGAAGTCTAGGTTCCTAAACAAAGTCAGTAACTTAATAGGCACCAAAACATCCTTAACTAATAAATTAATGAAAACACAATGCAATACAGAATAATAGAACGTGGATTTTACAATTCAGTATTTTAAGATTTAAAATAATTGCATGTCTCACACAAATTCTAAGTTCAGGCTAATAATTTTATCTCAGCAAAAGCAACCAACAATTTTTCATTTATCTGGGAAATCAAACTATAAAACTAGTAAAGTATGTTTTTTTATCATCTATTATTTTTTCTTCATCTTATATATCCTAATTCACTCAGTTTCATTTTGATAAATTATCTTCTATATCCTAGGACTTTGCTGAGTAAAAGAACATTATAATTAGAAGTCTACCATTTGCTGGCAGTGTGACTTAGTCCCCTAACCTTCACAGTCACCATGTGTACCTTGTGACACATGAGAATAACTGATCATCAGGTTGTGTGAGATGAGGTTCCCCAAAACATTCAGCACTGCCCCTCATCTGTGGGCGTCACTCAATTTCCATGCCTGGTTGTTATAAATGATAATTATAAGCATAGTGGAGGTGGCCTGCATTCAAAGAAATGAAGAATATCTCATGTACTAGGTTAACACTGGTCTGATTTAAAAAAAAAAACATAGTTGGGAAAACAAATTTGTTTCGATATAACCACGCCGTTCCTCCTCCTACTCGCCTCTGCATGTATACAGCAAGCCACAACTCTGAGCACAGTTTAAGAATATTAAGGTTCTGGCTGGGGGTGATGACAACACAGAGGACAATAACAGGGATGACAGAATATATGGGATCCAGTCGCGGGGTATGTGAGGGTGCCATTTGGGAAGTGGGTATACAGATGAATAAGTTTGGGATGTTCTGTATGAAATACACACAAAAAATCAACAAATTAAAAAAAAACGACTTATATTTGAGGAAGAAGCATAAAAATTGCTTCATGTTAATTAGTAGAGGTAAAAAACATTACCATTGAAATCTATCTGATGACTTTATATCCATACTGAGGTGCCAAGGATCCAAGTGTAACCAATTGTGACTAGTAATAATCGATACATAGAGACCAGAGATGCATGCGCAAACATCCAAGTGTAAGTAGCATTAAAATGAGTCTGTATGAAACAGAATACTTTAAAATTAAATGGAGATCTTTTTAAAGGTTAAAACCTCATTCAATTTTATGTCTTATAGGGTTTATTTTGAGTTCAATATTATATAACTATATTAATTCAAGTGTGAATCTAAAAATTTACAGCCACTTTTCAAAGAGATGCATCTTTGCTCTGGAAATTGCTATTGAATGTGTTAATGCTGTAATGATCTGCTTCTCCTAATCATGTGATCATTAAATAAATGATTTTTAAAAGTAAAATAAAATAAAATATGGCTTATACCACTCAAAAAAAAAAAAGAATATTAAGGTTCTGAGATCCAGTTTATTTTCCTTTGTTGTCAAGAATGACACTCAAGGGACTGGAAAGATGCCTCAGCAGTAAAGAGCACTGACTGCTCTTGCAGAGGACCTAGATTCCACTCCCAGCACCCACATGGACACTATGAACCATCATTAACTCCAGTTCAAGGGGAATCCACAGCCCTCTTCTGACCTCTGAGGCATTGCATGACCCGGGTGCTCTGACATACATGGAGACAATACACTCATACACATAAAATAAAAATAATAAATAAAATATTTTTTAAATGACACTCAGACAAGGAGAACTGCCCTTTGAACCTGATGGAGAGTAATGAGGATAGATTTGCTACACATCTGCTGTAACTTTCTGTAATTTAAAAAATGACTTTGAATGCAAGTGAAATATGACACGGCAATAAAGAAGGGCAGGGTTTGTTTACTTACAGTGTATTTCTAGCACCTGCATTGCTACCTGAGGGGTGGCATTGAGGGACTCATGATCTACTCTGCAGATAACTGCCACTCCATCGTCGCTCCGGTCCACTCGGAAATCCAGCGTACTGCTGACAGTGAACGTCTTGCGGTTAGCATCCTCCTCTTTCAAATACTTTACATCTGAAAATAAAAGTTGTAGAAAACTTGTTATATTTTCCATAACCTACCACATTACACTCACTAGAGACACCAAAAGCACCTTCTATTGCTGTCAGTTTTTTAAAAGCAAATCTGCGACTTTGACAACAGATTTTTTTAAACTGAAAGAAATATTAGTAAATGGTAAAACTGGACAGTGTTCAATATTTAGTTCTTGGAATCATAACTTTATTATTGTGTTCACAATTTGAGACAAACACACAGATTGGTTTTAACTTGATGAAAAAGTACTGTACTGAAAACATATTTTAGCGATTTAGTACAGAAGTAAAATAAAAGAGTGAGAGGCACACAGAATTTTTTTTTTCTTTATTTTCAAACTTAGATGGATTGTAATCAGGTCTGGATTTCCTATACTCCACCTAAAAACTGCCATTCTCCAAATAGTCCTATTTAGCTCATATTTAACTTTACTAAAATTTGAACACTATGAGGAAAGTACAAAATTCTACGAAATAATACCTAACAGAGGAAAGCTGCCACCTTTGGTAAATAACAGAAGTAGCAGAGTCATCTGAATATTGTGAATATTTAAATATGTATTTGCATTGAAATTTACATCTAGATAAATGTTCTTCAATTGGCTAAGAAATCCATTTCCTCAAGATGTGAAATCGCTTGCTGGTATTTAACTGTTATGTTATATCTGATCTATTGTTAGAGGGTGCGCTTAGGAATTATTAGTTCTGCGTGAAAAAGAACATTATTAATATTTTCACTTAATTTGTTGTTTTTCAAGTCTGAAGGAGCTGATAAGAAGAGGGTAAGTCAGAAAGATAGGCTAAAGGCATTATAGCAAGATCTTATAGGTAACCAAGATTAAAATATGCTCAACTCTCTTATGCTTTCTGTTTCCCCATCTCTCAGCATCAATTTTTTTAAAAATGATACTTTCTAGAAGTGAGTTCTTTCAGTGAAAATGCATGTATACCAGAGTTGCACCAAAGGTCCTTTAAGGGAAAGCAGCTGCCTAGTAGTCTCACTTAAGAGTTAATTCCTTAGAGTGCCATCTGAGTAAGGGACCACCCTCACCAAGGAGCTTAAACTTAGGCCGTGCTAAAGAAATAGGCAGAAAAAAATTAGTTCTTTGATAACATAATATACTATTCCGTCTTCAAATTTCCACCCCTCCAACCCAGCCTAATCCCTAAAAGCCTCCACGAGGTCCTATTTGGTCTGTCAACATTTCTGAGTCCTTATTTCCTTTTCTTCTCTTATGTATCTTCCTTTTACATACAGGCCAGAGTACAAGTATGTTTTCTCTGGTTCTTTTGGCTTTTTTTGCTCTTTTTCTAATCTCATCTCCCCTCCTTACCATGTGACCACCAAGTCAGTTTAACTCAAACCCTATGCCTGTCCTCTCTCAATCTCTCTCTCTCTCCCTTCTCCCTCTCAAGCTCCTATCAATGAATCTATAATAAACTCTGTAAAACTCACCCTCTTTCATTTATGAATTTTGTACACGCAGGAAAAGAACCCAAAAGCCACTGGTGCAGGGCAGCTTTGGAGGACACGAAGCTTCTGGGACCCTACCTCCCTGAGAAAAACTATCATTCTCAAAGACATGCCTGCATTCCTCTACCACATAAACCATTTATTCAACATTTTATTTGAAAACCATTTAAAATAGATTAGTAACAAACAACGGATCCGTGTTCTCCACCTTTTCCATTTTCTGCAAAGATTTTCCATGGAAAAATAACATTTAGTTTGGTATGCTTTATGAGGCTCTTGAAGTTTTACTTACTTCCTGGGAAAGACAACTTATTAATTTTATGAACAAGAATACATATATATAATATATATATATATAATATATATTATATCTATATTAGTAAATGAAAGAGTTAGATAATTGGTGAACTTCAAAACATATCTGTCAGGGCTGGTAAGATGGCTCAGTGGTTAAGAGCACTGGCTATTCTTCCAGTGGACCCCGGTACATTCCCAGCACTCTTATGGCAGCTAATGACAGTCCATAGTTCTAGTTCCAGGTGATCTAAGGATCTCTTCTTGTTTCTGTGAGCATGCACTTATGTACATGCAAGAAACACACACAACACACAAATAAATACACAATAAAAAAATTGTGATTGTGTTTATATGTATGAAAATCTCAAGATTTTTTACCACCAAAAATAGTTTTATAGCTTTTACATAAGTTTGGAGAGTTAGAAAATCTCATAACATTTTGAATAATTACAACTTTGTCTTTTTAACTATAAGTTATATAGGAGTACTTGGTATTTTTAAATGTTTAATTCTTTCCTAAAATATCAGTTTTCAAGAGATATGTCAATACCTATCTTTCTTAGGTTATATTATTAGGCTATTTCCCACTCTGTCTGCTTTCTAACCATTTATGCTGGAGTTGTAGAAAGAAAATCCTATTAAGGGAAGTTCCCTGGGAAGTAACCTTATCTCCATGGTGGTTTGAGCACACCCTAGCAATACTTTCTGAACTACTCTGATTCATTTGCTCTCTTCACTTTTGTGATTTTGATGCAATTTAAACAGACTTGAAAAGCAGATACTTCCACTTTTGTGAAGAGAATTCATTTTCCTGCATTCTGAAGTAGACCTTCATAGCAGCCAGGCACCCAGAGAGGTCTAGTATCTTTTTCATCCATTGCGAAGCTAATAGGTCACACTGGGAACAAGGTGGGTCTTACATACAGCCTCTCCACATGGAATGTGCTGTTTTCTATCTTTTGGAGATATCGTGTAGGAATTATGTAGGAGGTGAGGTATCCTCCCCTATTTGAGACCTAAGTCGCTGGTCACATCACAAGCAAAGTGTCAGGGACTCAGTGTGAACTCTAGGTATTTAGCACCTAATTAACAGTTGAATTTTATTAAAAATTTCAGTCAGGATTTATAAAAAGTAATTTTTGATGGCTAATATGAGACTCTCAGTGGGAAAAATCTCAAGGAATGCATTCTGGGTCATCGTTACAGTTACAAGTACTGTTGTACACCCTATCAGCAAACATAATACTTTGTTTCCTACCATCAAGTATGAAATGAATGCATCATCTGAGACTTAGCTTTATTGTCCAGAGCTAGAAGTCAGCATTCTGAAGAACCTGGCTTGTGTTATTACAGTTTAACAAAAGTTCTGTGGATCACATTTTATTAAAACTAAATACCTTACTTTTGGAAGAATGAAATTTCATTTGTTAAATTATTTGACAGTTTGATCTAGACATAACAGATCCCCCTCTTACTTTCATGCCTTTGTTTGTGTGATCTACTAAGACTAATAGAGTTAATTTGCCCAGGCTTGGGTAAAAGGCTATTTACCTGAGCATGCATAACTTAATATTGGCTACAGCACATTAGAAAATGATACTTCTCTCCCAGCAATCACTAACTGCCAATATGGCCTGGATGTAAAAGTAACCATCTGTGACTCATTCAATAATAAAGAATCACATTCTATAGGCATTAGCAAGAGGAAAATGGTAAAGCTTGGGTATACTTTAACTGGGAAGGGTGGAAGGAGGCCTCTAAATGGGGAGGAGGACAGATAAATAATGCTTAGATTGTGTGGTGTGAAAAGCTAAAAGGGAAATGTATTATTTCATCAGCCTACTGAAAAATACACACATATATGGATATGAGTGTATGTGTGTAACTGAAAGCTATATAACAAAAATCACAGTGATAGGCAAGGAGTGTTCTAAGAGATCAGCAAAATAATCAGTGTGATCTAAGAGATACAAGACACTTGCTTCTAGTTAATTCATTCTAGACATGATAAAGGAGCTTCAACAATGAAATGCCCACTGTATAGTCATCTAACAAGATCCCCACAAGGACAAAACCAGTTGACATGTGAATGTGGATGGGAAAAATTTCATGGGACCTCACATCAAGATGAAGAGCTATAGGCAATCAATGGATGCAGAGAGAAGGTTAATCAGTTTTCTCATCCTTGAGAGGTAATCCCAAGTGGGCATCCCTTGATTGCACCCCAGAGCTTGAAGTTAAGACCATATTTTTGAAGATACTGTATACTTTGACACAGGATATGAACCAACTGAGCTGGAACTGAACTGGAAGCCTCCTCCTGAAATATTAGCTCTCATTGTATCAGAAGATACGATTAAAGCTGCTAAGGGAGAAAACCAATCAATAATTATAACCAGATGTAAATCCCATTAATCACAACAATAACCAGCCCATCAAATTATCTGTATTTGTGCAATACTGGCAGTTTTATCTTGGGAGTAGTCAACAGTTGTCTAATTGGACATTAGACCTGTTCAATGTAAGGATTTTTATGCCTAACACTGTAAACATAGTCAAGTACACATAATTGGATAAGACATGTACTCTAAAAAAGAACCTACTTCTGTCACTTTCCTAGACCAATGTAATTTCTCACTATATATTAAATATGTATCTTTACATTTATAGACAAATATAACTATCACCACTCATTAAAGAATCTTCTTTTCACAACAGATGGAGACTATTATAAAGTTCTACAACTGGTTGAAATACAGAGAGTAAGTGACAGTGAGGTGCCCATCACTAAGTGCTACATATACAATGCTACATTTACACCTAAGATTCGGGAAACATCTGGAAGAGTGGTCAGAAAGAACATAAGAGCCAGAGATACAAGACACTTGCTTCTAGTTAATTCATTCTAGACATGATAAAGGAGCTTCAACAATGAAATGCCCACTGTATAGTCATCTAACAAGATCCCCACAAGGACAAAACCAGTTGACATGTGAATGTGGATGGGAAAAATTTCATGGGATCTCACATCAAAATGAAGAGCTATAGGCAATCAATGGATGCAGAGAGGGGGTTAATCAGTTTTCTCGTCCTTAAGAGGTAATCCCAAGTGGGCATCCCTAAACACGGGTACACGTTAGTACCAGTAAATGAACTCAGAGCAATACATATTATACATATATATATATATATATATATATATATATTTG